AGAGAAAAGAAGTTCTCAGATTCAAAAAGACACATGCACCCCTATGTTTATCGCAGCACTATTTACAATAGCCAAGAAATGGAAGCAACCTAAGTGCCCATCAGTAGATGAATGGATAAAGAAGATGTGGTACGTATACACAATGGAATATTATTCAGCCACGAGAAGAAAACAAATCCTACCATTTGCAACAACATGGATGGAACTAGAGGGTATTATGCTCAGTGAAATAAGCCAGGCAGAGAAAGACAAGTATCAAATGATTTCCCTCATTTATGGAGTATAACAATGAAACATAACTGAAGGAACAAAACAGCTGCAGAGTCACAAACTCCAAGAAAGGACTAGTGGTTACCAAAGGGGAGGGGTGGGGAAGGGTGGGTGAGGAGGGAGGGAGAAGGGGGTTGTGGGGTATTACGATTAGTACACATGGTGTGGAGGGGTCATGGGGAGGACAGTGTATCACAGAGAAGACAAGTAGTGACTCTGTGGCAGCTTACTACGCTGATGGACAGTGCCTGCAATGGGGTATTGGGGGGGACTCGATAATATGGGTGAATGTAGTAACCACACTTTTTCATATGAAACCTTCATTAGAGTGTTTATCAATAATACCTTAATAAAAAAATTATATAAAAAAAAGCGTGGGTGTGAGAAATATTAATGACATTCCCATGCAAAGTTCAGTGTGACATATATCAGGATGAGCTTTTCTCTAAGTTACAGTCCTTACCAGAAAATGACATTATTTGGCAGTTAAGTAAAATCCTTTTAAATACAGCAAACCCTTTTATTATGCTATAATCTTAATCACATCAGATGGTAGGCAGGGCCTGGGCTGTCCAAGGCCCTGCTCACAACGCCTACTGCCCGGCATGTAGTGGGTTCGCCATAGATGTTTGTAAATATATCAGTGTAGCTTGCTAGGCCTTCTCTCTCTGAGGCCTTTCTTTGGACTAGTGAAATGAAATTCTCGAACCAATTACAAAATAAGGCTCTTTCTACTTGCTTTTTCTTTTGAAATAGATTTTTTTAAATGGAGGTCTGTTTGAAGAATTGACAGCATTTGACTACAGCTGAAGTATGGGCATATCTTAAATGATCTACTGATTTCTCCCCCTTTTCAGTCATTGCTGTGCTTCCTGTACCCCCAAAAAGTTCCCTGGGCCCTATTCCTCCAGCTACTGCCTGGATAGGACGTGGGCTTCAGTTCTCACCTGACTGCTGCCTGGGGTCTGGGCCAAGTGCCCCACCTGGAGCTGACACGTCCGCACACATGCTGTGCCCTGGGGGCCAGGGCAAGACAGAGCTGATGCTGGTTCACCCCACATCCTTGCCAGACAGGCAGCCCTCGCCCAGGCTGAGATGGAAGCATCCCGCGGGGTGCCCCCCGTGACGCACCTGATCACCGTGGGTGTGATCTCCGCACAGAAGAACACACTGAGGCTGCCCACTGCGTGGGAGGCGAACATGCCCACGATGGAGAACGTGATGGAGAATTTGTCCTTCACGCTGTCACTCATGCCTGAGGGAATCACAAGGGGATGGTGAGGGGAGCAGGGAAAGGGACGCTGGTAAGGCTGAGGGGAGAGCAGTGGGGTGCACACGGAGGGCCCTCCTGCCATCCCTTGCCTCCCCGGATGGAGGTTCAGAACAGGTGCTCTATTCCCTAAGGAGGCCAGGAGCACCTCCAGGTATAGGTCAGACCAGCTCAGCACAAGACTTTATTGGGGTTCCTGTGAGTCCCCTGTGGGTTTGGAAAGGGGCTCACATTGACCCTGCCAGGATTCCTTAGGCCAGGAGCCAAGATGGCAGGAAGGGGGTCACTGGGGCTGCAGTGATGCCCCTTCTTTCCCCACCTTCCACACTGGCTCCAGAGAGGGAAGGTCTCTGTAATCCAGACAGCCCTGGCTGTTCTGGCTTCAGGTTTGACCGGTTCAATACATGGGACAGGGTATCTTAGGACTGATTTAAGGGAATAGAAACTCAAATAACCCAAGCAGAAGAATTTATAGGCTTGGAGAGAATGTGCTCAACGGATCCAGTCATCCTGCAAACGGCACCAGGGTCTGACCTCACACCAAGGCAGCGTCTAGTACAGCACACCGCATGCTGTTGGCGCCATGCATTTGGGGCACAGTTCGGTTCCCTGCAAGGCTGCTTCATGCACGCACGGCTCTCTCTGCAGAGGGCCCTGAAGCACAGGCTGGGGTCACGCCAGGCACGTGTGACCAGCCAGGGCAGGCAGCAGCTCTGCTGTCCCCGTGGCCAAGAGCAGCACTTGCATGATTCGCAAGGGGGCCGGCAGCTTTCCCTGGCAGCACAGTCAGCCAGGCCTCCAGGGCTGCCAGGGCTTCCTGAGCTCCTCAGGCACTGTCTGTAAGACAAACAGCATCACTGCCTAGGCGCTGCTGGGGCCTGTGCTGAACGCTGAGGCCAGGGGAGGGGACAGGCATGCAAGCTGGGTGCAAATGGGAAATAAGTCGCTTTGTTTAGAGGCAAGAGGGAGTAGAGAATACAAATGTATGCTTATAGTGTCCAACCTACGGCCAACTTCAGCTGCAACTCTTGGAGGGGAAGGGGGAAGGAGAGAGAGAGAGAGGAGAGGGAAACCACAGGTCTGTGAGTATGAAAACACCTGTTTGGAGGCAGTAACAAGATGAGGAAGTGCATGCCAGGCACCTGGGGCTCACCTGAGTCTGGGTGCTGGCTGTACTTTCCGATCACTGGACCGAGGAAGGGGTGGCATCCACACGGACGGTGATGAAGAAAGCAGGTAAAGAGGGGAGAAAGCAAGCATGTTAGGTAGGAAGCTTCTGCTGCATTTTCTGTGACTTGTTTCTAAGTCAGCTCCCTGTCAGCTCTGGGTGAGCCCTACCTGCCCGCCACCAGGCCCATCTGGAGGCATGGCCAACACCTTTTGAGGGTGCAGTGCTGCTAGAGAAAAGGAGAAGGCTTGCCCAAGGTACAGTCCCAGGAAACAGAATTAGCACGGCACTCAACAAAGTGCTTTTTGTTGGGAAGGGAGGGGCTAGACTCCCGTGGCCTCCAAGCCTGGGGAGGAATCCAAACTGCAGAGCCGAGACTAGCACGTACCCTGACCTCAAGCCAAAGGGTTAATTTCATTGTGCCTAAAATCACTCAGGTGGCTCTGCTGGTCTGTGCTCGGGGGCATCGAGTACCACGGGGGCAGAGCCACAGGCAGCATTTCTGTGTGCTCTGAAGCCTGATCCTCGCAGCTACTTGTCACTGGCATCAAGTTCCTGTGGCATTCCTGCTCAGGGACAAAAAGGGCATATGACACTCCCAAGGGCTGCCACTCCCCTGCACGTCCACCCAAACCATGTGAGCTCTCAGAAGCCTCCCTGGAAGGGCGGCCAGGGCAGCCCCGACCAGGGGTGCAGGATGGTTGGGGGACAGACACCACACATCTGTTCCCTCATTAGTCACAGCTGAAAAAAGGCCAGTCTCCCAGCAAGATACAGAGAGTGCAGAGAACTTGCTCAACTGAGAAAAATTGTTCCTGGGTTTGAAACTAGCTAGATTGCACAACAAGGCTGAGAAAGTTTTGAATTTTTTCTTTCTCTCTTTTCTGTTCCTGACACTGGCCCCTGCACCACGGTCAGCAGCATATGAATCTGAAATACTAGGTGGCTTTTTCCCAAGGCTCTGATCTGGGGTGCAGCTGGGCAGCCACCGCATCTCATCGCCACTGCCGGGCAGGCTCCCCATGGGAAGGAGGGCACAGGTCGGCGGCATCTGTTTCCCGCATTGTCCCTGCTGCCCCGGGAGGGACAGGCCTGGCGGGAGGAAGGCTCAGCTGCCCGTCACTTGTCTCCCCTGGGGCGGCTCAGAGAGGTGTCTGGTGCCTTTCGCATGCACAGAGGCAGCTATTTGTTCACGAGGAGCTCTCCCAAGCCTGCCTATTAAAGCTGGAAGGTCTACATGGAGTCTCTTGTTTTTTCTTTAAATTATTTTTACAATATACTGAGAAATTCTTTGGCCCGAAGACAAGCTGATGGACTTGGGAAGGTCTACTGAAAAGCAATATCCTCCTTAATTTCACCTGAAAGAAAAACAACTCTTTTGCTCTTCTTTGTCCCTTTACGGATCACAAAGAATCATCTGGCTGTCCGTGAAGTCACGTCCACCAGGCCCCACCTGTGGGGCATCCTGGGGCAGCCGGGAAGGCTCTAAGCTGGAGCCCAGGTCTGTGGGGAGGAGAGACCCAACACAGTACGGGGCAGTCCCCTCACATTCTGGTAAGGCTCATCCTCCCCCGAGGCTCCCCGGAAACTGCTCTTGAGTCAGGCCCCACCCCCCCAAAGCCTTCTGCTGGACGCCCGCTGCCCCCCGTGGCTCTGCCCTCCCCCGCCTGCTCCCGGCCCACTCACGGTTGAGGAGCCCAAGCTGCAGGAGCGAGGCCAGCGCGGTGAGGATCATGAAGAGCAGCAGCCCTCCCCTGCGCCCCAGGAACCTGACCACCACGCACATAGCCAGGCAGGATGCCAGGGCGATGCTGGCCACGGTGTAGTAGTCCGCATAGAAGTTCTCCAGGAGCGGCACCTTCACCTCGTGGCCCATCATGCTGCGTGCAAAGCAGTGGTGGATCCCGTAGCCGGTCAGCCTGCGGAGACACCGGGAGGGACACACGTGTGTGCGGGTGCACGTGAGGGCCATGCTGCCTCCTGGGTGGTCACTGTTTCTGATGGCCAGGTAAGCAGCTTAGAACATAGCAGGGAGCATTCTGTTTCTGAGAAGGAATGTGTGACAGAGAGGAGTGCAAGGAGAAGACTTGACAAGTGACAGGACTGCTCCCCGGGGGCGGGGGCTTGCGGCTCAGTCACTTCAGAGAATTGAGTACAAATGCAGGGTGACCCGTTCATGCACTATCTTTCACTGGCAGTCAACCTGCAAGACAGGGTGTTCCGTGTGCCTCTGCCATTTAATCCCATGCTGGCACCATGGGCTACTGTCAGACCTGCGTTACAGACAGGCCAACTGGCTTAGAGAGGTGACTCAAGGTGACTCAGCAGCTGGTGACACAGCTAAGATGACTGCCTATGTGCACCTCGGCTTCATTCCTCTGTACTCAGGGTTCTGCCAACCGGGGGACAGCCAGAGCGTGACCACCTCCACCCATTCTTGCCACTTCCTGACAAAGGCACCCCTGGAGAAGCCAGCAGGAAGTCAGGTTGAGTGAAGACACCTGGTCATGGAGACTTTGTTCTAGTTCTGAGTTTATCAGCTTGCTTCCCTTCCACTGTCCTAGGCCAGGCCTCTTCTGCCCCACAGGGGCCTATAAACCTGCTGGGAACTCTGTGCCTCAGTCGCTGCAGACAGACATCCACTCTGGGAAATGGGAATAAAAATGTGACCGTCATCCTCAGGGAGGCTGTGACGATGCATGCCACAGGGCTTTCTTCAGGTTCTGAAGGGCCCTCCTGGACATCTGGACATGGTGTGTATGAAACGCCCTCAGTGTGAGCGTCCACTGTGTGTCCACACTGTGTGTCCCTTCTCTCCCAACTGCCCTCCTTTGCTTTCAGGAAATCAAAGTGCTCTCATCAAACCTTGAGGATGCATCAAGGTTAACTGCCATGAGCACCCCCTCCCCATCCCCAGGCCCCACCGCACACACACACACACAGGAAGAGGCTGCCCCATGCACGTCCCCTAGGGAAATACCCAGCAGAGGACCCAGCTCCCCTGTGTTTAACTAGTTTATAATCTAGCTGTTGATGAGATTCGGTTAGTCTCGGGATCCAGGTGACGTCCTCTGCCTCCCGGCCTACTGAGGGCTCAGGGAAACCTTCCACCTTTTTGTTTTAGTGCAAAGGAAGTCCTTTGACCATAACAGGTAATTTTAAGTTAATAACTCCAGAGAGATTCATTATTCCCAAACAAGAATCATTAAAATGGAAACTTGCCACCTCATCTATGTCACAATTCATGTTTTTCCCCAAATAAAAATTGGAGAAGTCCCTCGGTTCTTGACGATCCCATTAGCTCAGCCAGTGTCTGCCTGAGGTTGGGCGGTGGTGTGGTGCCTGAGCCTGGAGCCCGCTCAGGGTGAGGGTGGGGGTGGGGGTGGGGATGCAGAGGGCTGGGGCCCCGCCCAACGGCATGGCTGCGGCTCTGGCTGGTTGCTCCCTTGCTGGACCTCAGTCTTCTCGTCTGCAGGACAGGCTGTAGTTAGATGTGTGCTCTGTGGTCACTCTGCCAGTAGAACCTTTGGTATCCTCACCAGAATTGAAGCTGGAACCCCAATATCAGGAACTGATTAAATGGAGCTACTTTGACAGACACAGCTGTGGGGAATGGCAGTTCCAGAGCCTGACAGCAGTCCTGAGACCTTTCCCAGGCAAGTGCCACCACCCGCCCTGCCACCAACTGAGAGTTACCCTCCATGACCTCTGACTCTGAAGCAGGGCCCGCCTGTGCAGTCCCGGAAGGGCAGGCTTACTCAGCTGTGAGTCAAGGTAGGAAGGACTTGCTAGGTTACACTTAGCCCATCCTAGGGGCTGTTGGGAAACTGTGCGAGCAGTAGGGATATACAGGGTCCAAACCCCATGGCAGCAATGTGGGGGCCTCTTAGAGCATATCTAGGGTTCACACCTGGGGGTCAGGCCAGGCCACCACCACCTGCAGCTGCCTAGGGCCTCTAACCAGGGCTGGCTGCAGGCACTGGCTGCCAGTGGGGTGCGAGGCTACATGGCAGCCCAGGCAGACCCAGAGGCCCACCCGTTTCCAAGCCCCTGTCCTGTGAAAGTGCCTGGACATTCCAGGCTGGGAGTCCCCTCTGCACTGTGCCTCTGAAGGAGGCACACTGATCGGAAGGTACGTGGTGAGACAGCCCCACCCTCAGGTTTCCCACCTGCTCTCCACCAGGAGGGCCTAAGGATGGTGTCTGCGTGGGCTAGCCCCGGGGTCCTCACATGGTCAGCACGCAGCTTAGACCGGTGACCTGGCCTGGCATGGCTGGCCAGGGCCCCAGGAGCCCCAAGGCTGGGGGGTCCCTGTTTTCCAGCACTTGGAGCCCCTCAGGCACCTGTGAGGAAGCTCACACTTACCCAGGGCCCCTTAGCAAGGTGGGAGGCTGGGCAGGGCTGGGGGTCCTGTGTGGCCATACTTAAAAGTCCAGCTGTAGGAGGAAGAGGGCCCTGCCAACCCTCCCTTGAACTGCTCTCCTCCGGCCCTTCCCCGACCTCTCCCTGAACGTGTCCCTCTTGCGACTCACGAGTTCACACACAGGACCACGATGTTCTTCCACAGGTTCCGTGTTCCCACCACCTTCACAATGCAGACCTTCTTGGGCCTCCGGGAAAGCCCCTTCTCCAGCTCTGCAGAGAGAGAACCGGTGACGTCTCGGGGAGACCTGGACTGGCAGCCTCACAGACGGCCTGCAAGGACAGGCCCTGGCTTCCAGGATGGAAAATGCATTCACGTAGACACTAACTCTGAAGGTCAAATTTGCCCACAGGGTCTGAGGGAGCCATCAGCATACCTTTTTTGGGAGCCAGGACAGCCACAAATAAATACCCTACATTGCAGAACTAAATGATGATATTCTAGGTTCCAGGGACACTGAACAGGCCTGCGTAAACCCAAGCAAGCAGCCGTGCCCTTATAGAGTCTGCTTGGCCTGTGTCACCACTGCCCAGGGGCCGGGGACACACAGGCTGACGCGTCCCTTAACTGTGTGTAGTATGTCTGCACACACAGCTGTGGCTGCTGCTTCTGGAACTGCCCCAAGAGTGCATGCACCTTTGAAGGAGAAATGAATGAATGAAGATGTATGCAGAGCAGTGTGTACATATGTGCACACACACATGCCTATCTGTGCATGTTACACTTAACTCAAATGTCTTGGGAGCTGAGCAAGACTCACAGTGATGTGACAACCTACAAAGTTAAGGGACAGAGTTTCTCCTGAGGCTCAAACCCGCTCCAAACAGTGCTCTGAGCAGACCCTGACTACCACAAGAACAAGGTTAAGGAGTTTTCTGCAGTCCTGGTGTTGACATAGCAATTAAACAGGGAAGATCAAAACAAGGAAATGTTTCGGGCTCCACGATGCCCTCCCAGTCACCCACCCTCGCATCTGTGGGCATAAATGCCATGCAGTCAGCCTCCTCGTCCTCTGCTGTCCTGGCGTCCTCAGGGAGTAATTCCCTGCTCAGGAGCTGAAGGAGGAAAGGGAGACCCGACCTGCCGTGCCAACAGGGAGACTGCATGAGGAACACTCAGAAATTCTGTACTATCTTTGTAACTTTTCTGTAAACTTGAAGTTATTCCAAAATACATTTGCTAACATTTTAAAAAGCAGTGGGGGTGGGAAGGCCGCAGGGACGGAGGGCGCTGCAGGTGCACGGAGGGACCGTGATGCCGCAGGAGGGCTGTGGGCACCGTGTCTCCGCAGTGCTCTACCTCTTAGGGCCACTCCCGGCATGGCCCGAATGCAACCCTCTACCTGCCGTCCACTGCGGGAGGCTCTCAAACCTCATCGATTACAGCTCGAAGGAAAAATACGCTGCTTGACCATAAAGGTTCAGGAGTTGTGAATCCAAAAAAAAATTTGTGTGTGTGTGTCTGAGGGATACCGTGTCACTTGGGTTTGCAGAACTTTCTTACTTCCCATACTCAGATGCAAAGCTTGAGGTCTGTGCCAGAACATCTGCATTTCGGTCATCCATGCACAGTGCCTAGCTCTTGAGGTCTTCCTGGTCTTTATTTCTCCCCTCTGCAAAAAATTGGCTAATTTGCTTTCAGACATCCTTTCTCCATGCTTAGAAAACTAAAGAATTTTTAAAGAGCATGGAAATATTATGGTTAATAGATAGTGTTGGATCCCATGATTTGAGTACCTTCACTGTTATAAAACTCACCAGGAATCAGCTCTACTAGTCACACTTGCTCACCATGAAAAGCTTCCAGCAAGAAAATTTAAATGTCCATTAGCATGCTCATGTAAGTTTAAAGCTGTTACTTGTGGTAATGTGGCCCAAACTTGATTCCTAATACATTATTGTATGTGAAATAGATGTTGTTAAACAGCTGTAACCATTGTAATTATGACCTGAGTTTTTTTTTTATTAATTTTATTTTCGTATCATTAATCTACAGTTACATGAAGGACATTATGTTTACTAGGGTCCCCCCTTCACCAAGTCCCCCCACATACCCATTCACAGTCACTGTCCATCAACATAGTAAGATGCTGTAAAATCACTACTTGTCTGCTCTGTGTTGCACAGCCCTCCCCGTGCCCCCCACACATTATACATGCTAATCGTAATGCCCCCTTTCTTTTTTCCTGCCCTTATCCCTCCCTTCCCACCCGTCCTCCCCAGTCCCTTTCCCTTTGGTAACTATTGGTCCATTCTTGGGTTCTGTGCTTCTGCTGCTGTTTTGTTCCTTCAGTTTTCTTTGTTCTCATAGTCCACATATGAGTGAAATCATTTGGTACTTGTCTTTCTCCACCTGGCTTATTTCACTGAGCCTAATACCCTCTAGCTCCATCCACGTTGTTGCAAATCCATGTTTGTTTTTTTCTTATGGCTGAGTAATATTCCATTGTGTATATGTACCACATCTTCTTTATCCATTCATCTACTGATGGACACTTAGGTTGCTTCCATTTCTTGGCTATTGTAAATAGTGCAGCAATAAACATAGGGGTGCATCTGTCTTTTTCAAACTGGGCTGCTGCATTCTTGGGGTAAATTCCTAGA